GACAACTTGGTGAAGTCCTATACAACTTAGTGAGATCCTGTCTCAAAAAGGGCTGGGGATGTGGCTTAATAAGTAAGCCTGGGTTCAATTCCTTGTACAAAAAAAAGAAAAAAGAAAAAAAAGAAAGAAAGAAATTGCCAAACGTGCCACTGGCAATTGAGGTTCCAGTTTCTCCACATCCCTCCTAATACTTCTTGTCGTCTGTCTTCTGATGATAGCCATCCAGGTGGGGAATCTCATTGTGCCTTCAATTCCCATTTCCCCGATGACTAATGATGCTGAACATCTGCATCGTGTTGGATTTCCAGACGCTTTTTATGCTACTGTTGAGATGATCATGTGGGTTTTATCCCTTACTCTATTAATATGGTGTATTCCATTAATTGATTTGGGATGTTAAACTAACTTTGTACTCCGGGGACAAATCCCTGTGGCTATGGTGTAATCTTATTTTTTTTTTTATGTTGCTGGATTCCATTTGCTAATATTTGCTAAGGATTTTTGCATCTATGTTCATGAGAGATTCTGGTCCGTAGTTCTGTGATGTCTGTGATGTCTTTGTCTTTTGTGTCAGGATAACACCGGCCTCATAGAATGGAACGAGTGTTCCCTCCCTGTCTCCTGAGTTGTGATGAATGGTATTTCTTCTTTCAGTATTTGACAGGGTGGTCACCAGTGAAGCTTTCTGGGACCCGCCTTTTCTTCATGGGAAGATTTTTAATGCTTAATTTAACTTATTTAATGGTTTGGGTCTATATTTAACAGTTTGGGTCTATTCAGATTTTGTTTCTTCTCGAGTCGGTTTTGGTAAATTTGTGTCTTTCTAGAAACTTCTTCTATCTAAATTGTCTAATCTGGTAGTATAAGGTGGTTCCTCATAATCTTTATCAGGTTGTTCCTTTATAATCCTTTTGAGTAGGATCACTAGTGTTTTCTTTTTCATTCCTGACTTTGGGAATTTGGGTCTTCTCCCTTTTCTTCTTGTTTGTTGACTTTGTTGATCTTTTTTAAAGAGCTAACTTTTGGTTTTATCAACATTTCTCTAATGTTTACCGTTTTCTCTTTCATTAGTTTCCACTCTAATCTTTGTATTTTCCTTCCTTCTGCTTGCTTTGGGTTGTTTGTTCTTTTTGTATCTTAGGGTAGAAATTTAAATTACTGATCCAGGTCCAGGCCAGTTATTATTGAACCTAGTTCTCCTTTCTGTTGTCAATTTTTGCTTTGTGTATTTTGGGGATCTGTTGTTGGATATGTGTACATTTATAATTGATATAGCTTTTATCATTATAAATGTTCCTCTTTGTCTCTAGTGATATTTAATATTTTTCCAATTATCAATATAGCTACTCCAACTTTTTTGGTTACAGTTTGCATAGTATATGGTTTTCTGTACTTTTATTTTTATTTTTGTGTCTGTTTTTTTTTTTCTTGCACTTTATCTTTTAACCCATTTGTGTCTTTGAATCTAAAGTGTGTTTCTTGTAGACAGAATATGGTTGGATTTTCTTTTTTTCATATAGTCTGACAGTCTCTGCCTATTCATTGGAATTAGTCATTTCAAATTTAACAAATGTATTTTCATTTGTTTGGTGCTGGGGATTGAACCCCAGGGTACTCTGTCACTGAGGTATATCCCCAGCCCTAGTTTTTAATTTTGAGATAGGATCTCACTAAATTGCTGAGGCTGGGCTTGAACTTGGGATCCTCCTGCCTCGGCCTCCTGATCACTGGGATTACAGGTATGCCTGGCTTGGCTCTTACTTTTTAATGGGTCTTCTTGCTTTTCCTCTTCATGTGCTCAGGGGTTCACAATTTGTGCGGGTTGAGAGCTCAGCAAAACCCTCTGTGGCTGTCTCACTTCTCATTTCTGCTAACTTTCTGGATAGGCTGCTGATTTGTTGCTTAAGCTAGCCACGATCACCACAGCAGGCTGGCTGGGCCTCCCTGGGTGTTTGCCACTGATCTACTAGTTACTCCTAAGCACTGGGCATGGGATGTTGCTATCGATTCAGTTTCATCCGCGATCCCAGATTATAATCTTTTTTAGAGCTAGAAGAGAGTTTCAGAGTCTTCTCCTTTTGCCCTCGGTAACCTCCCAGGGAAAGCAGGATTCCAGAAAGCCCTTGAGTTCCTCAGGTCCCCAGCGGGACAGGCTTGGAGGGCAGCCTTCTCAGCTGGCTGTTGCCCCCCAGTGGCACTTGTGTTTAGTGACCTTGTAAACTCAAGGCCTAGACAAGGCCTAGACCCTGCCCTCACCACGGGAAGGTTCTCTGACAACGCCCTGTGACAAATGTACACCGGGGTGAGAACAGGTCCCCAATAAGGAAGGACAAAGCATGCAGAGAACTGCGATGGATTGAGGACTTGCTGGTTACACCTGGCACTTGATTCATGCCAACTAATGTGATTTTTCAAAAAGCCCCACAGTGGTTTCTTAATTATCCACATTTCACAGAGGAGGAGTCAGGAACTTCCCCCAGGACAAGAGAGACCAGAGTGAGGGGCAGGAGAGCCCAGCTCAGACTTGCTCTGAGGTCTGCCCTTTGAAGTGGCTGTTAAAGGGCCTGTTAGGATGGGCAAGTTGCACTTGGTTCCTCCTGACTCGAGGCCTGGACTTCTATGATGGCTTCCATCTCTCCTCACCCGCAGTCCTTACTGCTTACTTTAGAACAGTTATTGAATCAGGATGTTTGGGACTCATTCAGTCCCCTCTGAGCTGTGGTCTGTCTGTCCCATCTCCTTATAGTTCCTAGTGGGCTGAGCCCACTGTGTTCCCAAGTCCTCAGGGGCAGAGGCTCCACTGTCTAACCCCAGGGAGTCCTTATTTGGAGCTGTCCTATAGCCATTCTTATTAGCTGCCCCCTGGAGCTGTTTCTGGCCATCACAAGGAGCCAGTCACTTCTGGAGTTAGTGACATGAAGACAGCAGCATGGTGAGCTCTTGTCACCTGACTGACAGGGTTTCTGGAGTATTGAAAATAGTTGATAATCACCCTCCATTATTTCTATGCTTCCTGTGGGTGGCCAGGACCTACTGTTCTGGGTGACTGCCCCAACTTTGGGACAATACACATCTAAGAGAGCTGAGCTTGGACCCAGGCTTCTTAGCACCCAATGTGGATGGTGCTCTTTTTCTGTAATCAGGCTGCAACCTACACCTCAGTACACTGCCTCCCCCATCCATGCCCACAGATCATGAGAGGTCTCTCGCTCTGCGGGACAAACCCCTCTCCTTGACTGGCATTTAAGGATCTTCATGGGATCACTGATGCTGATGAGTCTATCACTCCCCCAAATGGCTGCTCTGCTCCCATTCAATACCCCAGGGGCCCTTGACTCCCTACAGATGCCAGCTCCCCAGCCTGGAGCCTCCTGGCTGCCACTTCTGACAACTCCAGCCCTCAGCTCTCTGTGCCACTCAGTGGGCCTCAGTGCTTCCTGCTTCCTGTGGGGCAGCATTGGCCCTCTGATGCCAGGTCACGAGAAGCCAGCTGCTGGGCTTCCCTCCCAGCTCAGCGCCTCTCAGCCTCACAGAGCCCTCCCTGGATGGCCACTAGCCATTTGCATTCATCACAGTGCTCTTGCTTTCTGGTTAGGGAACTAGTGTTGGTCTAGGACTGGATCCCTGAACCCTCGGGCTTTCCTTTATTACACCAAAGGAGTGCCAATGGGAATTTTAATTTCCTTATATTAAAAACTGGAGAAGCTGGGCACAGTGGTGCATGTCTGTAATTCCATCAGCTCAGGAGGCTGAGGCAGGAGGATTGAGAGTTCAAAGCCAGCCTCAGCAAAGCGAGGTACTAAGCAACTTGGTGAGACCCTGTCTTTAAATAAAATACAAAAAAGGGCTGGGGATGTGGCTCAGGGGTTAAGTGCCCCTGGGTTCAATCCTAGTACAAAACAAAAACAAAATGAAGCAAAAACTGGTGCAGTGTCACTTCCTAGCAGAAGAAAGCACTATCCCTGTCGGTCAAACAAGTTCCTAAGAGCCCAGGCCTGTGGTATGGTCTGGTTGTCGCTTGGCTGGGGGAGGAGGCCGAGGCCTCTCTGCTGGCCAGGACTCCTGCCCTGTATACTGAGTGCAGCAGCTGGAGGCAGAGAAACAGTGTCCCCGTGTCTGCCTTTTAAAGAATAGCTGACTTTACAGTGATTCAACCTGATACTTTCGAAACTTTAACAGCTCATTTCATCTTGGAAGAAGCCATTCTCTGCTTTGTTACACATTCCAAAGACAGAGACACACACAGAGACAAACGGGGCACTGAGTTTAATAATCAGCCAGGGCTAGTGATCCCCCCAGCTTTCTTGTGGCCTGTACCTTTCTTTGCAAATGTTCAGGGATTGATGCTCATTCCTGCCTCAACTATACGGACTCACAGCATTTACAAAGGGAACCGAGACCGAAGGCCGAAGGCACAGTTGAGTGTCCTGCCCTCAGTGCCCCAAGTGCCTAGACTCCAAAATCCAATAAGTTCTCCAGTACTAAGAAAACTTAAAACCTCTCCTTCCGAGTCTCTAACAAGGGCCAAGAAGCCCAGACTTTAAAACAGACTGTTTCAAAAGACCCAACTTCCTGCCTGTTAGGACGGGACTTCCATGGACTGGGCTCCAGGCCCAAAGGCTCTTGGGCTGCGGTGGGCTCTGGAGCTGTTATCCTCACTGCACAGGCCAAGCGCCTTCTTCCCTGCCCTCAGCTGATTCTCTTTTTGGGGGCCCCCCACCGAGGCCCCCGTCCATCTCTCAGCAGGCAGGGTTTTCTATGGAAACTAAAGAGCTGCTTCTCGGCTGGGCACGGGCATTGGCGGCCTGGCGGATTCTACCTTCATTCAGGCAGAGACAGGTGGCAAGGCCAGCCCTTTGTGGCCTCCCCTGTTCATCCTTGTGTAAGGTTGGAGACAAAGGGTGTTGGGTGTCGTACCCCACCACTGAGTCCCTGTTACAGCCCTGCTGGAGGTGGAACAGATGGGTGGCTGGGCGTGGATTGAAATGACAAACTGTGGCTCTTCTACAAATGTTGAAGGTTTATTTCAACAAAATGTGAAAAGAGTTCATTTGACTGAAGGCTCCTCACGTGGCGGCGGTGTGTCCACCGACTCCTCGCCAAGAGGGGAGCAGGCTGCATTGTGAACAGAGAAAGGTAACACGGCAAGCTCGGTTCCAGCGAGTCCTGGTCACTATGTCATTTTTTCTGGGAACATCCGACTGCTCACTTCTGCGGCTCTTTCTGACTCTCCAAATGGACAATCCCTGTCCCGGGGAAGGGGGAGTAGGCACTACAGGGTTCTGGAGAGGAACCTTGTTCATTTAAATGTGTCATAATTGGGTGGGACAAGGGGAGCTCAATGAGCACAACCCATGCCCACCCCGCACAGGACAGGCATCCAGAGGAGGAAATGATTTTCTCTCACCTGTGGGCATGTGGGATTTGACTTATTACAGAAAAGTGCAGAGGGATAATCTGGTCAGAGACGAATCCAGTTCTTACTTACCAGTGAGCAAATAACTAGCAAAAGTGCAAGCTTCTTCCTGGACTGGGAATTATCCTCCATTTTTTCCCTGCCCTTCTTGGAAAGTACCAAACACCTATACCTTCAGCCAGGCAGCCTGAGGCCCCGACTCTTAGAGGGGGCCCGCTGCTATCCAGCCCTGTAGTGTTCCTCAGCAATCTAGAACTGCTACGTTCCGCCGCTCTCTCTGTACAAGGAGAAGAGGGGGAGGCGGAACCCTTTCTTGTGTGTGAATTACAGGGTTAAGGCTCAAAACTGTAGCTTGTTCAGAAGTATTCATACCCCTGCTTCTACTGCATCTTAGTGATTTCCTCCTTGGTCGTCAGTGACAAATGCAATTAGCTGAGCTGTAGGAACTGATGCCACCCCAGCCCTGATCACCTGCCACTCTTGCTTTAGGAAAACCAATGGGGGAATCAGTAAGCTCTTTTCTTGGATAAACTGGTTGTTGAAAATATGTTCTCTCCACCACTCCTGTGAAGGCCCCCGCTGCTGGCCAGGGAAGGACCAGAAAGCATGGGGGACAGCAGCACCATGACTGAGTTGTGAGGGATCTTAAGGTCATGTGGAATCCGAAATCCCTGGAAGCCTTCAAACACCAGGAAGGCCGGTGCCTGGTGCTGGGAGCACAGCTGCCCCCGGGTCCTCCCAGCATCTGTGGGAAGGCCTGCTGCTGTGTACATTCAGGGAAGGAGACGAGGCCCAGGGAGGACAGAAATGTCAGCTGCTAGGAGAGATGCCCCAGAAATAGGGATGAGCCATGCTACAGGCACTGACGGTTAGCTTCTTGCAACTGTCAAAGCTCCAGGCTTAACAGTGACAACCTTCTAGGTCCTAAGGAGAGCGACGTCTCCCTTCATGGCTATTCTTTCTGCAGCATGAGTGTGCATCAGGGGCAGAGGCTGGGCTTTTCACACCCTGACCTCACGGCTCCTAGGTACATGAGCTAGGTGAGAGGTGGCAGGTCAGCCACCGTCCATGTGTACTAAGAGAAGTTAATTTAGGGGCCTCAATCTTAGGTTAAGAATCACTACCTGGTCTATTTTATTTTGCTCTTGGGTCATGGTTTCCCCTCATCTTTGAGTTCTGATTGAGCTTGCAGCAATTTCATGCTCTGGCCTTTCTCCATAAGCAGAAATCTTGGTGTAGTTAAATGGGGGCGGGTTCCTCTCCAGTGCCTACTGTGTGCTGGGCAGAATGTGGGGTGATAAACGATGGACTTGAGGTTTCCTTCTCTCCTGGGCCCCAGCCCTCCTCTGCTGCCTGTGGCTGAGGCTCATGAGGCCGGGGGACTGCTAACTGCCTGGAAACTCCTCACACATCCCTGTGCCGGGGTCAAGGGGCTGTCGGGGCAGTGTAGTGAGAGCTCATGGTACCTGCTGTACCCTTCATTGCCTTCTGAGTCCTGTGCAGGGAGAGAGGACTGTTGACACAGCTGGGGTAATAAATACTGAACGGCGGGGTGGTTGTGACTGGGCTTTGTGATCCTATATCCCAGATGTCATGCATAACCTGAAACATTCAAGGGAAAGCAAAATGCCACTCTGTCTCCAGTGCTGGGTCTCCTGTGCCTTCTCATTACAGTGGATTCAGTTGTAAGAGGCAGCTGTAGCCCTTTTCTCCAGAGGCAGGGCAGGGATGGGCAGGAAGCTCTTCCTACGTGGAAGGGGAATCCATCGTGGAGAGGATCCGTACGACTTCTGCTCGCTGAGTGGGTGAGATGTGCTGGGTCATGTGGACGATGGAATCCATGGCAACCTCGGGATTGGCCTGTACCAAGCTGAAGCAGATTGAGGATGGTGAAAAGTGTCTCAACTGGGGCAGCTTTAGAACTGTCAGGCAAACATGCTAACATGGCCCACTGCCTTGCTTTCCTACATTAAAATGTCCTCAACAAGTCCAGCAACTTGGAAGGCTGAGGTAGGAGGATTGCAAATTCAAGGCCAGCCTTAGCAACTTAGCAAGACACTGTCTGAAAATGAAAAGGGCTGGGGTATATAGAGAGCACCCCTAGGTTCAATCCCCAGTAACGACAAAAAGCAAAAACAAAAACAAAAAAACAACAACAAAAAAACTCTCCAACTCTTGGCTGGGGCTGTAGCTCAGTGGCAGAGCGCTTGCCTAGCACACGTAAAGCACTGGGTTCAATCCTCAGCACCACATAAAAATAAACAAACAAAATAAAGGCATCTGTCCATCTACAACCATAAAACAACAACAAGTAGAGCACTTGCCTAGTAGGTATGAGGTCCTGAGTTCTATTTCTAATATGAAAAACCAAACCCAAACCACCAGCATTGACAGAAATCTACATGAAAGGGGTGCCCTGGCTAAATCAGGGACAATATGGCAGCAAAATAAATACAGTGATAAATTAGTGAAAACACAAATTCTTTTCTCTATACCAATAATGAATTTCTTTATAGAATCTGAGTGCTGACTCATCATTGGGAAGGGTGAGCTGACACTGGAAAGTTATCATTTTGCAACTTCATTGTAAAGACTGGTTCATGCAAGAATCACCACTGGACATTAAGTCTAAGGGAAAATTTTGATGGGGAGCAAGACATCTGTATGACCTTCAGAAGTGTCTTCCCATAGACTGCTCATTAAGTGCAAGGAGGGAAAATCAGTAATTGTACAGTGGAGAAATTGAGTAAGATCTTGACCAGGTGATGGAAATCAAATCAAATAAGGAGTGGCAGATGAACACTGTGTGCCTCCAGATGGGGACTCTGTGAAGGCCACATCACATAACCACATTAGGCAATCTCAAAATGAGCAATGGACTACAAATGGTAAATTTCTTTTCAATGCTGGAGATGAAATCCAGGACTATGCACCTGCTGGGCCAGCACCCTCCCACCACACATCCCAGCTCAGATGGCAGGCTGAAGATAAAGTTTTTAAATTAATGTCAAATTTTCTATAGCTATGTACAAGACTATCTCAGCTGGGCACGGTAGCACATGCCTGTAATCCCAGTGACGGCTGAGGCAGGAGGATTGCAAGTTCAAAGCCAGCCTCAGCAACTTAGTGAGATTCTGTCTCAAAATAAACAAAACGGGGGGGTGGGGGGGTGTTTGGATGGTGGCTCAGTGGTAAAGCACTTGCCTAGCTTGTGTGAGGCACGGGGTTAGATGCTCAGGACCATGTATAATAAATAAAAATAAAGTTCTATCAACAACTAAAGGGAAAAAAAAAAAAAAAAAAACGACTGGAGATTTGGTTAAGGGGTTAAGTGGCCCTGGGCTCAATTCCTGGTACCAAACAAACAAAACTCTATTCTTAGCACACAAATGATAAAAGCAAATGGGGTAATGTAAGTTATAGGTAAATTTAGGAGCAGATATATAGACGGGTGTTTTCTAAAACTAAGAACAGTTTGGTAACTTTTCCACAATTAAATATTTCCAAATATTATGAAAATGCTCAAATAGGTACCATACAGTTAGCTTTCCTTTCTCCCAGAATTTTCATCTGGTTCGAGTGTGTGTGTATTCAGAACTAACAGGTGTGTGCAACCAAACTAAGCTTTTATCCAGTTGAGATTACTAAGTGCCCCTGGGAACCAGAGAAAGAAATGTGCCTCAGGGCTGTATTGTATAGCAGTCTCCAACATCAAGAGGCCACAAAAATCGGGACATCATGTCATGATTTGTTCTGAACTTTCTATTCCAAAGAAACTAGTCCCTCTAGTGGGGCACTGTGGTGCATGCCTGTAATCCCAGCGGCTTGGGAGGCTGAGGCAGGAGGATTGCAAGTTCAAAACCAGACTCAGCAACCTAGTGAGGTCCTAAGCAACTCAGTGAGACCCTATCTCTAAATAAAAATTTAAAAAGGGCTGGGGATGTGGCCCAGTTTTTAAACGCCCCTGTGTTCAATCCCCCACTGAAAAAAGAAAAAAAAAAAAGCCCTTGTAGTTCAGGTAAGTCTCCCTTGCTGGTCTCACCTGCGGATCTGCTTGAGCACGTAGTCTCTGCTGATGTATTTGATGTTCTCCTCTATCACTGATCGAACACCATCTTCTTCTGTCAGTTGTTTCTCCAGCCATTCCACCAGGTCCTTATTATTGTCCCACACATAGGCCTGCAAACAGTGACTCTTTGTGAAACACTGGGATCAGGCCAGGCCCCATCACCTGATCAGTTACTGGAAAGTTTACTCCCAAAGCTTGCTTAGTGTAAAAAATGCTAGCCATTGTAATAGGAGGAGACAGGGGAGTTGCACTTCCTGTTTCTCTCCTGTGAGCTGCACAGACACATTCAGATCCTCCAGCTGGGCTCTCCCAGGGCATCAGGATTCACCCCACACTGTTGCCAGATTTAGGGTAGCTACCTATGCTACAAAGGCTAAGAGATTCAATAACCTGACAGGTTTGAGAGAAATAGTTAATAGCTCACATGGCTTAGTAAACTGTGACTGAGAAGTTAGGGTAGTTTGGTTATTTTTTTTTTCTTTTGGAGAAACTGAAACATAGTTCCCAAAGTGTGTCTCGGGTCCCAGCGAGGCCTGGCAAGTGAGGCCCTGAACTGTGCCTTGGTCCTGCTGTGGAAGCCTCCTGCAGTCCAGCCACTGTTTCACTGAGACCCTGGAAGAAGTCTCACTGCTACAGAAGAGCCACCAGGACAGAAACCTGCCCCCATCTTACTAGCTATGAGAGTATGAAAAAGGGTTAGGAAGTCTACAACCCTGAAAGACTCAGTAAACCACTGCCTGCCTCCTGTTTTTCAAGATCATTTAGCTGAGTATTTCCTAGGTAGTCGACTACATAATAATTCAGGAGTGTGTTGGAAGCCTAATAGCCTTCTCCTTGCTCTCTTCTCCTCTCATTTTCTTTACAAATCATTTAGGAATCGTTTTGTTAATGGTTTCCGGAAAACCAAGTACCACCATTAGGGCTCATTCATATTTATGTCATTTTGTTTGGGTAATTAAACACAAAGCTCGTCATTTAAAGGTGCGCTATCCTTCTCTGTTATCACTAACGAAGTCAAAGTCAGAATGACAATGAGTTTTGCTGTAATTTAATAGGTGGGTACAGTGGAAACTAGAGGCTTCTTCGGGGCTTGCCATGTGGTGAGAGGAAACCTGGACACAGGCAAGGACACAAGAGGCACCACTGCAACCACAGGGCCTGTGAAGGCACCGAGGGGACATTCCCTCACTCCCTCACACCCTCCAAAAGGCCTCCGCAGCAGGAAAGTGGGCACTGGGCTGTTTTCAACCTGGTTCATGCCTTTAAAAACATGGTGTTAGCCGTTTGTGGTGGCGCACACCTGTAATCCCAGCTACTGGGGAAGCTGAGGCAGGAGGATCCCAAGTTGGAGGCCAGCCTGGACAATTGGCAAGGCCTCATTTCAAAATAAAATGACATGGCCCAGTGGTGGAGCACTTGCCTAGCATGCATGAGGCCCTTGGTTCAATCCCCGGTATGGCAAAGCAAACGAACAAACGAAAAACCCTAAAAACGTAGTTCTTTTCAGACTGTCACTTCCTAGTCCTAACTTAGCTGGCAAGTTAGCTGTGATTGATTATTTATTATGTGCCACTTCACTGACTTTGGTGTCTCTAAAAACCTGTAAGGAGTCCTTTACACATGAAGGATGCACTCCTAGGACTAGACACCAGCAGTGAGCTTTTTCTTGCTCTCTGTCCATTTCCTTTTCTGGCTCCAGATCTGCCCATCTCTACCTGTCATCACTGACAGATCAGCTCTTCTTCAGCTGGGATGGTGCCTCGTGACAGTGCGAACCTGAGGGAGCCAGACCATTTCTCTATGCCTCACAAAGGATTGAAGGTGTTTTGTTTGTTGGTGTGTGTGTGTGTGTGTGTGTACTGGGGATTGAACCCAGCCTTTTTTTTATTTTGAGGCAGGGCCTTGCTAAGTTGCTGAGGCTGGCTGGGATTACAGGCATGGGACATGGTGCCCTGTTCAACAGCATCTCTTGAGGCTCAGTGGCAGAGAAGTGTTTTGCTCCCAAGAAAAGGAAGTGCCACATCAATTACTACTGCCAAGGGGGAGATGGGTAGCACTGTTTCCACCATGTGTGGTTGTCTTAACTCACTCATGAGTTCTGGGATAAGGAGCCATATGGGGACAGACACACCTGGAGTCCAGACTCCAATCACTGCCATCTAAACTTCCACATTTCCATTTCTTTCTTCTTTTTTTTTTTTTTGGTGCTGGGGTTTTGAACCCAGGGCCTTGTGCTTGTGAGGCAAGCACTCTACCAACTGAGCTATATCCCCAGCCCTTCCACATTTCCATTTCTATCACTGGTAAAGTAGGTTTCTCCATAGTTCCAAGATTTATACCTTCCCCTACTTAGAAAGATTTGGGAGGAGGGAAAAATAAAACAATGGATGCTTCTTGGATTTCAGGATGGGGGGAAAAAAAACAACTAGATTTACCCAAGAATCCCAAAGCCTTTAGTTTAGGAGAATATTTAATACTCTTATTAATCATTTTTAATCCGTTTGCTTTTAATTAAGAAACAGCATGATGCTTTCCTATCAACATATGCCAGGGAGCAGATTAATTGTGGCTTAAGATAACTCTCCTTGATTGGTGTAATGTATTAGCTAACGAGATGCCTGCTTCTAACGATGCTCAGACACTACACTGGAAAGCCAGCTACCCTCTAGAGAAAACTCTTCTTCCTTCCCCTCCTGCAGCCACAGAATATGCTAGGTGTTTAAACACTTAAGAAAGTTTCCAGACAAGATTAGAGCAGCACATTCTAAGTTTTACAGTTGCTTGAAAATATGGGCCCTATATATGGAACTGCTGTTCATGTAAATAGGTTCACTGGATGACAGCCGCCAAGCCCCAACCCCTATAAAATGTAGGTCACAGCCCAGAGTGCACAAAGGCAAAAGGGCTGCAAGTCCTAATCCATGTGTTTAGCACGAATAAACGAATGCACCTCCATGGCACTGGTTTTCAGACCTGGGAGGGCTTCATATGCTGTTGTGAGCTAACATGTCCCAGCTGGGTTCTCTGTGGAGTTTACAACTCCTTGTCTGGCCTCTTTAGAATGTCTTAAGACATTCTAGCCATCTAGGACAGGGATTCCAGTTCCAGGAAAAAAGCTATCATCACTTCTCTCTTTAGAATTAGGAAAATGTGACTGATATTCCCAGTATTTCAGTGTCAATCGATCGATCTATTTATTCATTTATTTATTTATTTTTTAGTTATAGGTAAACACAATATCTTTATTTATTTTATTTTTACGAGGTGCTGAGGATCGAACCCAGTGCCTCACGCATGCTAGGTGAGCACTCTACCACTGAGCCGCAACTCGAGCCCTCAGTGTGGATTTTAAATAAGTGTGAAATGATGGGTGGCTAACCTTATGACAGGCCTGCACTTATATGTCACCTGCCTGATATGCCAATCAGACATTTTAATACCAATAAAGACACTTTCTCTCTGAAACAATGGCGGAGTATCTTAGGCTCTACTCAGCCTCACTATTATATGTAGTAGTCTAGCTTACAAAAATCTACATAACCTGTTTGGAAAGTTCGGTTTCTTAAAGCTGTTACGCCCGCTGTGCGCAACAGTATAGCAGGGCCAAGGAGTGAACCCTGATCGCCACACCCTACAAAGAACTCACCTTGTGAGCTTTTTAGAGACACCTCCAGCTGGGGAAGTTCCTTGCAGTTCTCACCTAGGCTCACCTAGGAGCCACCCAGTGCAGTGGGATGCGATGACACACACATCCCTGAGCAAGTGCATATTTTGGAAAGACATTTCAATATGCCTCCACTTATAAGCCTTACCTATACAGGAAGCAACGTGATTTTTTCAGAGGCTCTGGAGTACAGCAGCAAAAGGCCACAGGGGCCAGAGTGGCTTGCTGGACCCCCATCTCCTGAGAACCACCTTTCCCCAGGCCCATGAAAGGGCCAAAGCAGCACTTTCCTGGTTGTGCCTTACCTCCTCCCTTTCTGCTCCTACACAAAAAGTATGATTAAGTGACTCTATCAATGGTGCTTTTTCCTGTTATCCTCACAAGGGCTACCTATCTGGAGCCCTGGAATAAGGGTAAGTGAGTAGCCATCTGGAAAGTAACAGTACCTGAAGGCACTAAGCTGTGGGAACATGACAGCCAGCCAAATCAGAGTTTTCACCCAGCATCCCTACTGCCCATTAACACTGTGAAGTCACACACCTCTGTTGTTACTTTCAGCTTCTAATACACTGTGCTGAGGCCACTGTGCTCTGTGCTTATGTAGTCTGAACTTACTGAGCCTTGTGAATCGTGAATGTCACTCCCATTTTACATATGAGGAAATGGAGATTCAAATAATATGCCCAGCAGTAAATGGCAAAGCTGTGTTCCCAAAGGTTTGTAAGATTCCAAAACCCACATTCTTCTCCTTGTTCTAATCTCAATTTTTACTATTGAAGGGGAGGACCAATCAGCCTGTTTGAAAAACTACGTACCTCAAATTGTGAAAGTAAAAAATCAAGACAGAAAACATGTCCATGAAACAAATGTGCACCACACACTTACAAACCAATTTAAACCACTGTTCTTGTTATTGTTTTCAGGGAGCTGTAGTGGTGCTTTGCTTCTGCCTGCAGTGAACCATAAACTTTACCATTTCCTACAATAGGGACTGTCCCAGTGGATCCAAACAGAATCCCATAATTCATGGTAACGGATACCTCTAAGAGAAACAAAAGAATTACACTTCTCAGTTATATAACATCAGTGTCTTTAATTTTTTGTCCTCGAATCTCCTTTTTCAGGATTAAGATTAAGAAAACAAATTCTCGAGGAAAAAAGAACACAAGGCATGGCTAGTATATGCCTATCGCTACATGTCCTTCCCCACCGGTCACCACAGTAAGGATTAGAGGGTCACTTCTTGGTGCAAAGTGAGGGTTTAGACTTAGACACTTTCTGCACTTGAGAGACACAGCATATTAGACACTTTCTGCAACTTGAGAGACACAGCATATAAAATCTGTCACTGTTTGAAGAACCAAAAAAAAAAGGTTTTAAGCGGTTTCCTAACAAGAAGCAGATTCTACAGCAGCCCTTCAGAGGCGGCCTGGTGGCTTCTGAACACTGCAACACTCTCTTCTCTCAAGGGCGCTGCAGATTTTATCACCCACCCCACACTAAACTAGGTCCTGCTGAGCCTGCAGAATATGGAAGGAGGTTTCAAAGCCATATGCCCTGACTTCAGAGGATCACCCATCCTTACTGTCTCTCCTTGCTGTCCCCTGGATGGAGAATTCTGGAGGATGCTGTCTTTTGTAGACTGGAGGATGCTGTCTTTTGTACACTGGAACAAGAATTGAGAAATTGTCTCAATTCTTGGGTACGATTGGTTCCCAGTGCTCAGCCTCTTCCTGGGCTATGAGACTGGAGGTGTCTCCTGTACTTGTTCTAGCCGGGAGCCTGTGCACATATAGTCAACTGTTCTCTCCACTGGTAAGAGATGGCAATGACCTGTTTCTTCAGACACACTGTCCCCCTGGGAGCAGGATGCTAAGGAGTAAGCGAGGGGCCTATCTACTTACTTCACGCTTGGGGGGAAACTATTCCTTCTCCTCATCCTTGTGCCTACTGAGGCTGTGCACGTCCATTAGTGACTAATGCGGTAGGAAGCGACTCGGGCCTCTCCTGGCCGCACACACACACTCCATTTACCTAGCTGGCCACTCTTAACTGGAGAACAACCTCTTATTTTACACTTGCGTGACTTTCAATGCCAACTTCCACTAGAAGCTGCCAGTAGCCACTGACAAAATTGTCTCACTCAATTATGATGCCACAGGCTGACCTTAACCTGAACCAAATGTCGGAGAAGGCTGTGCTCCCCTGCTGCGTATCTGAAATATTTATCCAAAGAAGCTTTTCAGTCGTAAAGAAATGGGCAGACTTAACACAAAGGTGAATCTTAGAAGCATCCTACTGCACTGGCTTTAAAACCAACAGTGAATCCTGGAGTTCCTTGCTGAGAATGATTAGCAGAGGCTTCAGGCGACATTTTCCAGAAAGAAGCCAGAGTGCCCCTTTTTGTAGGCCAAAACCCTTCAAGCCACCACCCTCGGGCAGCCAGCCCTCCATCAATACTCTAACCTGGTAGTCACCAAAGGTTTTGATTACAGAGCTAACAGAAAGATAGATGTGCTCTATCAATATTCTGATAAAATATATACCAACACAATTTAATCCATATACTGTTAGCTGCTAATAAAGGTTAACTTTTTTGTGTGCGGTGTTGGGGAATAAACACAGGGCCTTGTGTATGCTAGGCAAGCAGTAGACCACTGAGCTACAACTCCAGTCCCTACTTTCTTTTCTTTTTTTGGTACTGGGATTGAACCCAGGGGTGCTTAACCACTGAGTCACATCCCTACCCCTTTTTAATAATTTTTTGAGATAGGGCCTTGTTAAGTTGCTACTGCTGGCTTTGAACTTGCAATCCTCCTGCTTCAGCCTTGAGTCACTGGGATTACAGGTGTGCACCACTGTACCCAGATTTAGCTTTTTCTTCCCATCCTATTGTGCCCCATCTTACACACATTGTTATTCCAGGGCCAAATGCAAGTGTGTCTGCTATGTCATCCTGGCCTCCGACCTGCCCCATCCCTAACCACGAGACAAGAGCACCAGGAATGCCATCCCAGGGGCCTGCTTTATGGCATGCATACTTCCTATGGAATCACCCTGAGAAGATGCTGGATTCCCAGTTCCTTACATGCAGGCTGGACATTCCCTCCCATCTTTCACTTAATCAGATCTTTCCTTGTAGTCTGTAGCATCTCCTCCTGCCAAAGTACTATCACATTCTATTAGCCTTCCTGCTTCTACCCCTCTTCTATTCCATCCTCCACAGCTCCCCAAGTAGTGTTTCTAAAACAGAAATCAGAGCATATCATTCTGCTGCTTAAAATATCTCAGTAGCTTCCCACAGACCTCAGGATAAAGTCTAGACTCCTCAATAGTATTCAGGGCCTTGTGATTAGCACCCTAACCCCAACCCTTCTTATCCAGCACTTGATCTCTGAACCATACTGAAATATTTGCTGTATGCATGCATACTGCTTTTGCTATCATGCACTGGAACATTCTTCCTACCCCCCGCCACCAATCCAACCTCTCCCTCTGGTCCATTCCCACTTTGTTTTTGAGTCTCTGCTGAGATATTACTTTCTCCAGAAGTATTCTCTGACTATCTCTCCTCCTTCCCCAAGGTTGGATGTCTTCTCTTTGACTATGCTATCTGCTGTGTTTAGTGCAGGACCTCTTGACTCATCTGACTCCCCCAAGAGATAAGATCTGTGTGGGACCTGGGGATATAGCTCAGTTGATAGAGTGCTTGCCTCACATGCACAAGACCCTGGGTTCTCAAGCCCCAGCACCAACAAAAAAAAATAACAATAAAAACAAGGCCCTGGGTTCAATCCCTAGCAAAACAACAACAAAAATCAGTGTGGACAGGGTCCTACTGGTGTCTAGGAATGTTGTGAGTGTTCATAAAGATTTGCTGAATGACTGCATGAGCTGCAAAATATGTCCTCTCACCTCTTCTAATAAGATGTCAGGAATGTTATTGGCTATGTGTGTACGGGAAAAAGGACTTAGGCCTCTAGGATTCCTTTCCATTCCTGCCCTTCGAGGCCTGTAGATTCTTACATGAAGAGCCTGCAACCCTCACGTGGGATGAGAAGCACATGAAGGCTCCTCTGGTGACCACCTACCTTCACTGTTCCTTCCACTTCCACAAACCAACGCCTTAACATGGCCTGAATCTGGCCATCGGTTAGCTCAGGGTTGGCATTGTGGATTTTCTTCTTGACCAGGTCCTCCAGCAGGAGACGTCTCAGCCGCCAGTAAAAGAAGGTTCGGGATGTTTTCCAATCCAGGATGTCCTGTATACAGATAAGAGTAAGCTTACTCAACACAACCCTAATCTCTGTTCAGCACTCAGTCTAGAGGGAACACCACAGGCATAAAAACCTTCTCTTGGGCTGGGATGTAGCTCAGTGGCAAAGCATCTGTCTTGCATTCGCAAAGCCCTGGGTTCGCCCTGCTGACTGCAGCATGGTACACAGCTTTGGGCCTGGCAACTGCTCAGCCCACACATCACTGAGAGGTTCTGGGGAAAAGACTGGAAATTCCCAGATAGCCAGAGAGAGAGAAACTGGTTTTGAGAAAACTGCTCAGATGACTTGCATGCACCTCAAAGATGAATTAACTGCTGAAGAAACTTGATTCTATAGTAACCCACAGCCAGAGGACCATAGGCAACTGTCACCAGTGAAGGCACATGTGCCTCAGTTTCCCACCAGTGAAATGAACCTGGCGTCCTGAGGAATCCATGGAAACCTAAATCATACATTGCTTTGGGATGACAATAGAAAAAGGAAAAGTTAAAAAAAAAAAAGGAACTCGTTTGCACAAGCTCTTTTAATCTGGCCCTAACAGCTCCCTGCTTGTGGGCCTGTGAGCATGGCACACTTACTTGTGGGTCTCTGACAAGTAGGGAGAAGTGGCAACCATTGTACTTACGTTAATAACACCCTTCTCCTGCATCCGGCCTGGTGTGTCGTGCAAGTCAGCAAACTGCACAGCTACCTGGTGGTAAATGGGAATCAGGAATTCCTCCCGCTCCTTCAGCTTGTTTTCCAGCTCCTTCCGCTCAGCTGGGCTTAGCTCGGGGGTGCCTGCAATTAGAGAAACCTGCCTGTCACACTCTGTGGTGATCAGGAATCTGCACAGAAGCAGCCGCAGTCCTGGGAAGCTCAACGTCACCCTGGCTTCTTTCCTCTGGGACCTGGCTCTCTACTGTCTTCATGACCTCTTTGCTGTATAACATGACTCTATAAGATGCCTGCCCTGTCTTTACTTTGCCACAGGAAGCCCAAATGCCACCTTTTCTCTATGGAGGTCACAAATATGAAAGCAGTGATGGCAGCCTGGTTCCCAGGCCTCTCTCTGAGCAGGTACAAACAACCACAGAGAGGCCTGCACCTCTCATCAGCTCGCTGACTAGCAGCCAGGCCCCTCCATCCCCCACAGGCCACGACCGGCACTCTGACACCTCGCCTATCCTTGCTGACCAGTGTCAGAGCAGACAGACTATTCTGACTGTGGGGAGTGACAGGACAGCTCTCCCAGTGTTCAGAGCATAAACCAGCAGCTCTAGTTTTCCCATGTCCACACTGGTAAGTACCTGAATAACTGCTGAAGTTGTAAGCTACAGCATCCTACAGTTTCTAATCTTAGGTTTGGAATGCTTAACGTCAAATTAGTAAAATCCAATCTAATTAGAGCCAGATCCGTGTGTCTTGGGTCAGTTCAGTGGATTAGCCTCTGGCCTCCCACCTGGACTGCTACTGACTGAGGCAACCCATGACCAGAGTGACAAAGACATTAGTTCTTGGGTTAAAAAAGAAGGAAGAGGAAAAAACAAAAAGGCAGTTCACAAACCCCAGTTGGATTACTGAGCATATAAATCCATAGTCCCCTCACTTAACAGAGAGGAGACTAGAATTCCTTATAACAAGAAGACCACCCCCTCCAATCAATAGTGTCCTAGTAGAGGTGTTGCTATGTTGGACTTTTCTTCCTAATTACTTTCAGAATGGGATTTGCAATCAATACTGAAAATTTAGCTGCCTGCCTAGTAAGGAGGAGTAAGTCTAGCTGAAGGAGCAATAGGTGACAGCCCCTGGTGTTGGGGACAACCTGATGTGCTTTGTCACAAAAGCTGAAAACTACATGAGCACAGGTGACGTGATGCAGAAGAGAAAGGTCTATTGCAAGCATGCCTGTTTCAGAACAGGCCTTGTTTTTAATGCCACCATGAATCATAAGCCATAAACAGCCTTGGGCCGCTGAGTGCGCCGTAAGTATTCTACATGAACGGTGCTAACAGAACAGGGATGTACTCATAGCTTCTTTTTATGAATTTTTTGGATGCTCAATTCCCCCTCCTCTCCCCTTTTAAAAACCCATTAGTATTTTAAAACTATCAAAGGGGGGCTGGGGATATAGCTCAGTTGGTAGAGTGTTTGCCTCGAATGCACAAGGCCCTGGATTCAATTCCTAGTACCACTACCAAAAAACAAAACAAAACAAAAAAACTGTGAAGGGTTGAAGGGTGCCAGAAAACTATCTTTTCTTCAGCTTTCACACAATGGATACTTCAAAAGCCTTCCTTTCAAAACAGGTAAATAGAATGACCACACTGAGCTCCACACCATGGGTTGACACCATGACCATTCATTCCAGCGTGGCCCTGCCCGGAGAACTGACTGGAAGTGGGTGACAGGTGTCTTCTGAGATGAGACTTTCTTAGTTAGAATGCCCTTGATAGGGAAGCAAATGTGTTTCCTTCTCCACTGAGAAGAACCAAGACCTCATTGGAGAAATGGCTGATTACAGGACTGCAGCAGGAAAAATATAAGATGAGCCCAGAACATGTGACAAAAAGCAAGGAAGCAGTTGGTTGAGAAATGTAAGAAGGATGCAGATGCCAGTTTGAATATGTTCTGCTGGCTAAATCAGATGGTTTGAACACTAAAATAATAATTGTGAGAATATCTATGAAGTAAGAATCTTCATATAAATAATTAAATGGTGGAGAAAGGAAGAGGAATGCTCTCCCTTTCAGTAGAATAATAATTAAAACAGAAGGAATGATGAAATTAGAAAATTACCATTTTATAACCATCATAGTAATTGATTCAGCTAAGACTCATCAATGGATACTAAAACTAGTGAGGGACAGTTTGATGAGGACAGAGTCTTCATAAAGTCTTAAAGTATCTCTTTACAAATCACTTATTAAGAAAAGGAAAATGAATAAATATTAAAAAATTCTAAAAAAAAAAAAAAAAGGGCTGGGGATGTGGCTCAAGCGGTAGCGTGCTCACCTAGCATGCGTGTGGCCCGGGTTCGATCCTCAGCACCACATACAAACAAAGATGTTATGTCCGACAAAAACTAAGAAATAAATATTAAAAAATTCTAAAAAAAAAAAAAAGAAAAGGAAAATGGGCTGGGAGAATGGCGCATGCCTGTAATCTCAGTAACTCGGGAGGCTAAGACAGGAGGATTGCAAGTTTGAGGCCAGCTTCAGCAACTTAGTGGGAAAGCTGGTAAAATTTTAATATGAATCATGGATTAGATAATAGTATGGTATCAATGTTTATAGTTCCTGATTTTGATAAATTCATTACAGCTATGTAAAAGAAAGTTGTGTTCTTAGAAACACACACTAAATACTTATGGATAAAGGAGCATGAGGTCTACAGATTATTCTTTAATGTTTCAAAGAAAATGTGTGTGGCAAGTGAGAGTGAACACATGCACATGCTCATGAGCATGCACAAGTGACAAAGTGAATGGGGCAAGATGTTAAAAATAGGTGGATTTGAGAAAGACACCAGAAGTTGCTCTGTACTATTCTTGTCACTTATGAAATTGTATCAAATGAAAAGTTCTAAAAAATCAGCAAAGCTTGGGGAGAGGGGCAGTTCCTAGCTATTTAATGCAGATAATCAATAATCAAAGTTAGAGAGCTGAGGATGTGGCTCAGTGGTAGAGCATCTGTCTGGCATATGCAAGGCCCCAGGTTCAATCTTCAGCACTTAAAAAAAAAAATATTTGCAGGGTACTAGACAACATTGTACATGCTTTAAATCTATTAGCTCATTTAATTGTCACAATAATTTTATGGGATTAGCATTCTCATTGTCCCCATCTTACAGATGAAAAAACAGGCACTGAGAATTTATGTAACCTGCCAAGGTCACAAAGCGAGAAGTGACAGAGCCAGGACTCAAATGAAGTTTGGCCCCCAAAGTTTTTCAACATCATATCACGATCTCTACTTGCTCACTTGAGGTGGAAGAACAGCACTGCAGGAGTAGCACCCTTTCCATTTCAGAAAAGGCTTAATGATGCTGGCCAGACTCCTGTCTGATGAAGCTGACTCTCCATCTTAGTCCCACGCCATAAAGGAGGCCAGGACAATATCTCCAATAATTCCCACCCACTTGGTAGGTCAGATGCAATGCTCTATGCAGGCCTTAGACTTAAGTAGCTTCTCTTATTACTGCAGATTAAGAATTAATACAACAGCAGCCTTGCTGGGGTCCAAGAGATGGCAGTATGAGGGTCATGGCGAAACAGGGAGTTTCAAGCCTTTTCAGCATTCTCACTCTGCATAAACAATTGACACTGAGCTTAAAGGCACATATATATGTATGTAGATTAGACATAGCACTATTTATTGAGTGTTTATTGTACTGCATTCAAATCTTTCAGGAACACATATATCTCATTAGTTACAACACACAATTCAGACCTAGGTCTGGTCACCTGTTAACATTGTCATCAAGCCAGACATCTCAACATAACTAAGCATGTTCCATGTTGCTACACATGTCATCTGTGATCCTGATAAGAACCTAATCTTATGGGGTATCTATTTTACAAGCAAGAAAATGGAGGCACTGAAATGTACAGTGACTCCCAAAGAGATGTGCCACATGCCTATAATCTCAGTGACTTGGGAGGCTGAGGTAGGAGAGTTGTAAGTTCAAGACCAGCCTCAGTAATTTAGTGAGGCTCTCAGCAACTTAGTGAGACCCTGACTTAAAAGGACTGGGAGTATGCGGTAAAGTACCCCTGCGTTCAATCCCCAGTACTGCAAAAAAAAAAAACAACAACAACAACAACCTATATTAAAACTTTAAAAGAATAACAAACACCTCTAATGCTCTTGCCCACTTTACTATTATTTTTTTAGTTGTTGACAGACTTTCATTTTGTTTATTTATTTATTTATTTACATATATGCAGTGCTGAGAATCGAACCCAGTGCCTCATACATGCTAGGCAAGTGCTCTGCCACTGAGCCATACCCCCAGCCTGCTCTGGCCCTCTTGAAACTAGGAAGACCACAGAGCATTTCCTAAAGGCTACCTTGTTTATTTCTTTCAGAGATGCCTTTGATCACAGCTGAAGACCTACCTCAGACAGCAGAATAAAGCAAAGACAGAAGTAGAAAATATACGTGTTTTAAAATGTATATAAGAAAGCCAAAAATTTGTGTGCTTTGTTTTAGGGGAAAAATGTTTTTTTTTAAAATTTTGTTTTCTAAAAACAAAAAGCTGCTCTTCAGCTAGCTAGTTATACCCTCGTGTTGCGCTCTGAGGGCCCCTCTCTCCTTGTACAGCAAAGCAGCCAGCCCCGGTAATGATTTAGGGGAGATTAACAAATATGTCAATGTCTATTTTCTGCTTAATTTAAAAGCGGCGTCTATAAAGATTTTTGACTTCTGAACCCTGTTCTCCTGAAAGAAAGAAGGTAAGAATGAGGAGGGGGATAAAGAGTGATTATCCTATCATTGATCGTTTGTCAGGAGCATTTCTTATTCACTGGACTATTGTAAAAAGCTAAGCTCTCGATCAATCCTGTAAGCTCCCTGTACAATTAAATATCTTGGAATGGTTTTCTTTCTTTTCCAGCCAGATTGCAGGGCCTCAGGGTTTTTAGGAAACCAAGTCGGTGTGTATGCCTGTGTGTGTGTGTGCACACGTGCGCGCACATATGTGTAAGAATATGCTACAGAGAAGAAAAGCCATTCTTCCCTAGAATCCTACTTCAGGCAAAGGCTAAAATGAGAGAAGAAAGGTGGATTGCTCCTATCCTT